AGTCATGTTGCCGATGTAGCAACAACATCGCGGTATCTCAAACTGCGTATCAGTTGCTGCCGCTGTCGCCGATGTTTTCTGCTGTTGTTGTTGTTGCTGCTGCTGTTGTTGTTGCTACTGCTACTCACGCACACGTTTCACGCTTTTTGCTGTTGTCTTCATCGCGTCTGTGAACCTCGTTTCTGGCCAATCCCCCCGCAAGCCTCTTTCCCATGTTTGTTTCGGCCATTTGAGCTACCGGTTTTACGCGCCAAAGTCTCCATAACTTTTGCCACATGCCATTCAACGCACATTGTTCGTGTTGCTATGCTGCATGTTGCTGTTGTCGCTGTTGCTGCTGCAGTTGTTGCTACCGCTGCTGCTGCTGCTGCGGTCAACTGCATTGTGGCTTCTTCATATGGATTGACTTTCAATCATTTTAAGGGGTATATAAACCTGGGAGTTATCGGTTATAGGCAACCGACATGCGTGAACATTTCGAGGTATTTTCCCATTATTTAATAGGGATTTTATGGACCGTGGGATTATGGCGGAAAATGTCTATAAAAATAAGCCACAAAAGCAGCTGCTTTCAATAGGGATTAAATTCATTTTCTTTAAAACGGGGTTTTCCAAGATATGTATAATATTTAACAACCTGAAGGAATTCCTTTAAAAAATTTTTACTTTAAAAAATTAAATACTTTACAATACAGAATCTTTCAAAGAGTAGGAAAATACATTTTTTTATCTTTATTTAAGGCTCTGTAAAATTTCTTCATAGGGTATTTGTTCCTTAGAAAACTTGTATTTAATTTATTGATTTCCACTGTTTGTGGATTCTTGGCAGGCAAAGTTTTTGTCCCCAATGCTGCATATTTTCCATCTCAGTCTCGGTCTGAAGCTCTTTCTCTTTCTATTTCTCAGACTCTGCGTCCGTCGATTGTCTCCGTCCGTTTATGTGACTCGCATGCGAGAAAAGTGCTCCGTTCCATGAATCGACTTTAGTATTTCATTTGCTGCTAGCTACTCATTCTAATTCTCCGACGTTCATTTTATTTCTGTGCGGGTTATGTTTTGGCCCGATTGCTATGGAAACTGCAATGCCAAAGCGCATTATTTGATTATGCAGGGTGCACTCGAGGAGAGTGAACGAGACGGATGTTTTCAGAAAGAAAGAGGCGGCACGAGTGGGAGTGAAAGGTCAAAGAGCAAGAAGACTTTTGTGTATGATCCCAGAACGAATTCCGACTGCACTTGAATAACATTTTCCGCTGACTTTACTCCTGGCTGACCGAATGCACTTCTAAATGCATTTCCAAATGCATTTCCCCAACTGAAAGCTTCGTTTTCCGCTTTTACTCTAAGACCACTCCGTTTCATAAATCATTCATACGCTAGTATTTTTATGCCATTCGATAAGTGGCTCTCGATTGCTTACTTTTCTTTCTCGACTCCCTTTAAATGGGTTACAGTGGTATTAGCATTAAGCTTTTTAGATGATTCTATAATAAATATATTTTAGGAAGTTTTTGTTTTCATTTTATGTTGCAACATTTTATCTTTAATATTTAAAGTGTGTTTAAAGTCGTATCAGTAAAATAAATTATCCAATTCTAAACTTCGATCCACTGTACTCGAGTTTCGCTTCGTTCGAGCAAAAAAATAAGTCTGCCTTGGATAAATTATGTTAATTTAGTTCTACCTCTCCGGCTCCACTCGCTTTGCTCTTTAATAACTTGACAAATGAAGAAAAGAAAAAAGGCGGGCAGAGAAGTCTCTTCAACGGACTTACGACTGCCAGGCATATAATTTCGCAAAAGCGCAACAAATTGTTAATTTTCCTTTGCTCTGCCTTGCTTGCGTCTGTTTCTGTTAATTTGCATATTTCCCGGTTCTTTCGTTTCTTTTTTTATGTTCTTATAAATGAAAAATAATTGTTGAGCGTGTCTACAAAATGGTAATAAATTCTAGTCAAGTAAAGCAAATTGTTGCCTTTGGGTTGGTTTTCTATTTTGGGGGTATACTTAAGAATTTTGTTAGTTGAAAAATTCGAAATATGTATTTTAGAGGTGTGTTTCGTGCCACTTAAAAACTCATAATTATTTTAAATACTTTTTGCTTTGTTGAATAACTAATACATTTGCTTTAAACTCAGTGCAGTGCTTCAATGTTTGATCCATATTTGAAAACCGAGTAGGTCTAAACCAACAACCAAAATGCAGTCCAATTTCGCTCGTTTAGTATTCGCAGCATAAACCTAATGGAATCCCTACGGAACTGGACCTCTGCAGTTGGGCAGGTGATTCATAGTTCCCTTCTCCGAAAGCCTGTCTGCGAGAAGGGGAAATCCATCAAATGAGCTGCCAACGCGTTGTGGAGTCAATACAAATTGTTAGCTTCCCCTTTTGGCCTCCTCTCTACGCTGCCTGTTATTTACTTGGCCAGAAGTGTTTAAAGGGGAGTACCAAAGGGGGAGAGGCGAAATGGGAGGGATTTTCTGGGGGTATATCTGTGAGCATTATTCAATGTTTGCAACGAACGTGCGCAAATTAGAGATTCAATGCACGTAGCCGGCGGCCAAAGCTTCCAAGCTTCCAGCCTCGAGCGTTTCTGTTCCACTTACTTTGTTTACCCAAAAGCATTCGGTGTTGTTGTTGTTGTTGTTGTTGCTGGTTGCTGGTTGTCGTAACTGTCTGCTGCCATCATCAACGCCCAAGCAACAACTGTCCCTATCCCTCTTACTCAGCCGTACTCCAACTGACGACACATTAAAATAATGTATTTTTAAATTTAACATTAATTGCCGTTGAATGGTTTCTGAATGGGCCGAATGCACTGCGGGAAATAATAAATTTTACGGACAAGCTGTATTTAAACAATAAAGTTATTATATACCAAGCAGAAATCAGAACAAAAGAACATCATTACTGAAAAAATATTTTCCTCAGTAAACAGTATTTTAATATACTTCACAAACTATATTAATTTATATTAAAACCCATATTTGCTTTAAACAAAAATTAATTCCCATAAAATACTTATTTTTGTCAGTGCATGAACCGGCTGCGCCTGTTCCTTTCCATTTACTGTTACTTTCTTGCCGGAGCATCTCAAGGAGTGCCCCAAACAGCAACAACAACAACAGGAAAAACGCTTTTCGCCGGTCGCTTGTAGTGCATTAAGTCATCATTTTATTTTAATTTTTTTCGGAGACTTTTCCCATAAATCGCTTTTCCGTTGCCTGGGACTTTAATGTTTTTATATAAGACGCGATGAGGGGAAATATGTTTTTTATGGCTTTTGGCATTTTGCATGCATTAGCGAGTGTCTTCGAGTGTTTGTGTGCGTTTAGGCCGGAGTGAAAAATTTTGATTATATTTGTTAAGCAATTGAAAATTTTTTCAACGCCGAGCAATTATAGGAAGGAGAAGACTGATGTGAAAATTGCGATTCAATGCGGTGAAAGATAAAGACAATATAATAAAAGGAAGTCTTGCTTTGATTTATTGGTTGGATAATCTAATAAGTGGAAAAACTTAATTTCCTATTCTATTTTTTGTCTTGTAAATCACAACCAAAATGAACGAACATATTATTGTGACCTTTCAATAATGTTTGGTGGGTATAACCTTTTCATTAAATAATTCCCACAACAGCTTAACCCCGTCGCATTGATTGACTTATCGAATCCACTCACTTGTACCCTGACATTTGCTGGAATATTGGGTGAAGTCGCCTAATTCGCAGCCCAGTTTACCACAATGCAGCACTAATCCAGTGTTAAGCTGGCACCTAGCCTCACTCACTCCCACCAATTACGTAACGGGGCATTAAGTAGGCCCAGTTAATACTGGGCTATAAGTGCCCATCAGCAGGGATGCTGCCCTCCACTCGACAGCCCCTCCAAATTGTCTATGACTTTCATTCGATTTGCCTAACAAGCCATAATCATGTGCTGCTGTATTTAATTACTACCGTCTGGCCATATTGGAAATTGTCCGGGTTACGGAAAGAGAGCTCTGGATATTTGCTGTGGGAGTTGGGGACACCGGAGCTTGGCCGGCAAACACAATTGAGTCATTAAGCCGCAATCTAATTAAGCCCAAAAATGTGAAATGAGCCCGAGAATGGGCCACAACAGAAAACCCTCTACTTCGGCTTAGAGTCAGCGCGTTAAGCGAATTAGTTTTGGACTTGTTCTTTGACTTGGGAGCCCCAACCAAAAAAAAAGAGGGAACTCATCCGAAGTCCACAAATTTTTACGGCTCTTTAACGTGACCGTTTTCAGGCTGTCGTCTTTTTTCCCTGAGCTTTACATTTTTGTTGGCCGTCAAGATTTATTTCGTGTCTGCCCGCGACCACGTAGGTCATTAAATTGTTTAGAAATCGCGGACAGCCGAAAGTATCTCAGAATCCAGACCCAAATAATCGAGCCCAACCCAAAGTCCCCATTCTCAAATGAACCACAAAATGACTGTGAAATGGGCGGCACAGTGGCTTGGAGTGAAGAAAATTATATTTAAATTTGACTCAAGCTTCAAATCGATGAGTATCAAATGCAGAAATAAAATATATATTATACATAAAAATAAAAATGTTATCGTTTATTTGAGGTGATTGTAAAATATCAATAGGGTTTTTTTTATTTCATGATGAAGGTATTGTGCTGTTTTTTCACCAATATTAAAAGCACATAGTTAAGCCCACTGTACGGCCTGCTTTAACTTTAATTGGTGGTTGAGTTCCCCAACTTTTTTTGTAACATTTTCTACTGACTGATAGCAACCAGGCCTCTGCCCGAGAAATAGATACAGTTAATGCCACAAATGATGTCTAATGACGGTTTCGTCTTACGCGTTGAAATTGCCCCAAACCGCAGCGATGGCTGAGTTAAGTTATTGGGCGGAGTGTGTGCGATGGAATTTGATGTGGACTCTGGGAGATTAATGCGCCAGCGGATCAAGGTCGCACTGGTGGATAATCGATAATAATCCTGCCTCGATTTCGGCGCAACTTACCTTCAACTTTTGCGAGAGCCAGCACGGAGATTGTTTGGAGGGCGGGGACCGCCCAGGCAACCAGGTGGAATAAGTGCGACTTGTTCTCAATCGCCTCGTGGCCCCATTTGAGTCCGGCGGCCAAAAACCAGGCGAATGCCAGACACGACCACCAGGCGAAGGCCGCCATGCAGCAGAAGTAGAGTGCCATGAATAAAACAGTGCAGGACGTGGTCTGTCGGTGGCCCTGTCGGAAAAAGAGGAAAACCCAGTCAATAAAATCACAATTAATGTAGGGCCAAAGACCCGCAGGTCGAGTCTTTCGATACTCTTCGAAGTACTAAGGATATAAACCACAAGTTAAAATTAAAATTAAATTTCTGTATGACTTACTATAAATTATAAAGTTAAAAAATCCACTTCTTTTAGTAAGTCAAAAACTTCAAATTTTAACAATTCTTTTTGTATTTTTTTCCTTCAAGCATTTCATTTCCAATCATCAAAATAATTTTATTTCATAAAAAAGCTAGTCTTTCATAAAACAAAAATTGAATGAATTTTTAGATTTCAAATTAGTACTTATATAATTTAATTTTATTTCATTTTAACACCTGCGTTTCTTGTACTCTCCGTCCGACTACAAAATCAAATCAAATTTTCCCCCACAGTGCTTTCCCTTTTGAGCGCAGAGTTGCTCCTGCCGGGTCATCTTACCTGGGTGATGGTGGACATCATCTGCAGGCGGCCGAGCTTGACGGGAGGCGGAAATGGTTCGCGGCACGAGACGGAGTCGCCTGCTCCCAGCCCGGCCACGTAGGCACAGCCAACTACCAAGTAGCAGACGGCCAGAAAGACGATGGCCCTTTCTGGGTAGCGAAAACGCGACGAGTCGATCAGGAAGGTGAGCACCTGCAACGAGTCACAAGGGGGAGAGCGGGTATTAAATATAAATTTAGATTTAATTAGGTTCGCCTTAATTAACCCGGGATATGTATGCTTTGATGTTCCCTTAAAAATGCATTAGTGTTTATATGAGTGCGGGGACATTAAAGGCGAGGCGAACCTATTAGGGGTCCTCTTCGCAGCGCCTTTTGGTCATTAGGCTCTACACATTAGCTGATTGTGATTGTTGTGCCATTTACTCCAAAAGCTGAGCCCCATTTAATTCGCAAGGTTTCTCTTCCCATGGCGAGTTGGCCTTAATGAATATGACCGAAACGTCCTTAGCGTTTGGCTTTAGTTAGAAGGCCAAGCCAAAAGTAAGAATTTCAGAGTAACTTTCATCACATTCAAACGTAGTTATTTTTCTGAAGGTAAACTGAGCTTTTTTCTCATGCCTAATAAATTAAAGTTAAAAGTTTCGTTTAGAAATAATTAATTTAATCAAATTTCAAAAATGCTTAAATGTTTATCATTGCATCAATTGAATGAACTATGGTAAGCGAATTATTTAAGCCAGTTGCAATAAACAAGTCAGTATTCAAGATAAATTTCAGATATTTCTTAGATTAATCTTAATTGCTCTTCATGGCTTATTGTGTTATATATTTTGTTAAAGCAGTCGATAACATAACTGGTTTTCTAGCAAAAATCATAGTTTATATATATATTCTTTAAAAAGCATAACTCATACGCAGTGTTGTCTTTAAACCACTCAAGATGCCAAGAAATATGTAGAAATCGTTGGAAGCCCAATCATCGTCAGCAGTTTTATAAATGCTCTAATTGAGATGTGGAATATATTAACTCATTTTATCATCAATTTCCAGTGTGGCAAACCAACGACCAATCAAGTCTTCCTTCTAATCGGACCCAACTTCCGGTTTGCCAGAGGGCCAAATGGGAAATTGAGAAGTGTGGGATATAGATATTCAGACATAGATGAAGCCCCAGATAAGACCAACATAATGGTTGACAATTCCTCAAAGCTTTAAAAGCAATTACAATCCACACACACACATACACTATTTTCCCTCCGTCTTCTGACCGCAAACTCACACATTAAACTCCACGATGCTTCTACAAATTTCTCTGTTGCCTGTGTGATTACGCGCCATTTAAATAAATTCATTATCATTCCCACTAAGCCAGGCCAAGGAGTCTTTTGTCTAAACCAGAAACCCCGAACCAGAAAACCAGACCGAACCCAAGCAAAGTCATTTAATTTGATCATTACAAAACTATCAGAGAGAAACAGTTAGCTGGAAGTTCAGTGTGTGGGTGGCCTTGTACGAGTGTGTGTGTGTCCGTGTTAGTGTATGTGTGTGTGGGTTGTGTTTGCGTTTGAGTTGTTCGCATTGCATTAATGTGCCGAGTATTATTGTTGCCACGATGAGACCTCTGAATTATTCATAGATGCAGAACGCACTTCTCGGCTCTGAGTCGTGGCTAACATCAGTCTTCCCCTGAAACACCATTACTGCACTGGAAAAAAATTCCTATATTTTGTTTTCATTTTTTTAAATTGAATATTTTTTTTATTTATATTTATATGAATATTTTTACAGTCGCTTCCTAACGAAAAACGAAAGATAACTTGCCATAATAAATTGCTTATTTAATTTATGTGCATTTTAGGCAAGAATATTTTTTATTTTTTAAAGTATTTTTTCCCACTCGCTCGACCACTTTTTTTTCTAGCCCGGCTCCTATTGGTATTATAGTTCCCTTAGCCAGCTCACATCTAATTTCCACCTACGCATTGTCTTCGTTGCGGCACCCTTGCCTTTCATCCTCATTTAAATGCAAAATATATTCGTGATGGCGGAGAGGAGAATAGAGGAAGTGAGTCAGTTTGTAACTCCTTTTGTTGACAACGCTGCACTGCAGAAGAAACAAGCTGAGAAATTGAATTGAATTGTTTATTTATGCCAAAAACAAATACAAAAACAGAAACAGGGTTCCTCAGCCCATTTCCTTTTGCTCCTCGTAGCAATTTGTTATGCCACGCATGATGGGTGGGAAAAGGGGAGAATTTCTGTAGGTGTGACTAGCTACAAATGAAACGAAATAAGCTGCAAATGTTGAAACATTTGGCAAGCACAGACTTCCAAATCTTTTGCCCCTCTCCCGCATCCGCCCCTTGGACACGCCCACAAATTATGCGTCATCGAGGGCGGAAGTTTTCCCAACTTGGCGAAAAACATGCAGCGTTTCTGTGGGCCACACCCACACGACATTTGGAGGAAATTCGCATTGGAGAAGAGCTTAGTTTAGTGGCACTTAAAGATGGAAATAAAGAGGTTTTCCATACATAGGTGTTACCTAAGAAATCTTCAAAAAATTATAAAGGAATATAACAGGCTAAATAACAATTAACATTTGTTTGCCAGAAAATATAGCCCACGTAGTCACATCATTAAATTGAATCCATCAAATTAAAAAGAAAGTATTTATTTTATATAAATGATAATATTAAAAATAAAAAACAGGAAAGCAATAAATCAAAAAAATGAATATTAATATAAATTAATGAGCTTTTTAAATTGTGTTAATATTTATCAAGTTCAATTTTTGTTGTTCAATATTTTTCTAATAATTAAAGCCTTTCTTGTACAAAAACTAATATTCCCCAATCAAATTCTATTTTAAAATATTTATATTCTTTAACTCTTCAACTCTTCAAGTTTATTTAACCTCTAACCCAGTATCTCTAGACTTCTTTACCCAACAACTTTTCTCTGAGACTTTTCTTATTTCCACAGTGGTGGACTAAACTTGTCCTAAACATTTCCGTCAACCAACTGCAAATAAATTATTTAACCCGAGCCGCCGCCGCGCCTTTCATGGTCAATGAAAAAATGTAATTTCAATTTTTAGCGCTCATAAATTTTGTGGAGTCGGGTCATTAAAATCAGCCCAAAACTAAAGTGGTTACACCCACCTAACCGCCCCAAAAACCGCCCCTCCTTCTTCGCTGGAGTGCTGAAAACTAAAAGCCACAGAAGAGCTTTGAGAGCTTTGCCAGCGGTTGCCAGTTTTTGAATTTTGCATAAATTAGATTTAACTCAAAACAAAAAAATCGCTTAAAAATTGTATAAATCTGCATAAGGAAACAACAACAATGGTCCGGTTTTTTTCAAAGGGTGGATCGTCTATTAGAATAACTAACTATTTACATAAACATTTAAGTCAGGTTGGACAGAGATTGCGGCATAAATTTTGCGGCAAACGTTTGCGACGAAATTTTATATTTTCTGTTTTTGACATTTGATGTTTACGGCATGTATTTTTTATGCATATCAATGATTAAATATTTGGTGCATATTTAAAAACTATTAATAATGTTGTGGATATCACTGGGCAACAAACAATGTGAAAAGCCAACTGTCAAAACAAGAGACCCAAAAAAGTTTGGCATAAATGGAATGAGTAGGAAAGGGTTGATTTCGGATGACTTTTGGGTGCAGTCACCATGAGCTGTCATATTTGCTCATATCGTCCACAGTCTTGACTATCGAATATGCGCCTCACTGAACTTTCAGTTTCTGGCTCTCGATTTTCCCTTTTCGGGTTCTCTGCAGTCGGTCTTGTAATTAAGAAAAAGTCATCAAAGTCAACGACTATACGATTATTTGCTCTTTCAGCAAACACACATTGTCATTTCCTCTTTTCGCTTTTCATTGGAAAACAAATGTCAAGAAAGAAGGTTGGAGGGGAAAGGCTCACTCATTGTCTCATCTCATCTAATGCGCTTAATGAAAAAGGTGTTGATTGTTGACAGTTGATGCGACACACAGAATCCCCCATTTCGCATTTCCCATTTTCCATTTCCCATTCGCCATTTTAGTCTCATAAGTTTTCTTCCCTCTGACAATTCTACTCGCACAAGTCTCGCACAAGTAAAAGTTTTTGTGGGTGCAAAAATATTTGTTTTAGTTCGCGAAAATTGAAATAAAATGTGCTTGTTTATAATTTTGCTTGATACTTGAAATGAAAAGCCCCAAAGGTTTTCCCAGGTTAGCAAAAGTTGGGCTGTCATAGGAAATTGGTTGGGGAAAAAGTTGGGATTACTTTCCCTCACTAACTTTGACTTGGCTTGAAGTTTACGTTCTTACCCTGCCAGCTATCAAAATAACTTCGCTTGTATGAGAAATGGTCGCAATTTCTTTGCCATTTCATTGCTTATTTAAAGTTATTTCGGCAACGAATTTATCGCTTATAATCCCTGATGTTACATATGTTCATGTATTTCCGTTACAATTTCTAACATTGTTTTTTCAACATTTCCTTCAAAACATTTTTATTTTTTCAATCAATTAGCTGAGTAATTTTTATGTGGAATACAAAATCTGTATAAATGTGAAGCATTTCAAGCACAAAAGCAAACATTCGTTGGTGTTCAAATATTTTCAGATAAATTTTTTTCCCTGGCCATCCACACCGAAGGATCAACTGCAATTTTCTAATGCTTTCGTATGGCATACATTTTTTGCAGTCATTTCCATCGACATATTTTTGTGTCATTGCAATTTTTTATCCCACACACATATGGAGTGAAAGAGAAAGTTTATTAAAATCAACAAACAAACATAACCCACATTTCATGGGGAATTTATTGAGATGCATTGAGCACTATTCACATCCACACATAAAAAGGGGAAAATGGCAAACGGAAGAGGAAGCAAAATAAAAAGCCATTCAAATATTTAATGTGTGTGCACTAAAGGAAAAACATTTTCCAGGGCTTATGAAGGCTTATTTGGGTTAACTTCTTAAAGCCGAAAAGCATAACTGGGAAAAACACTTGGAATCAGCTTAAAACTCCTAGAATGAATATTAAAAGACTTTCAGTTCACATTTTTAGAATTGTTTAAAGCTTATACTTAAATTCCTTAGTCCCTGGCCTCTTTTGTTTATTCAGAGCTTGAAAAGAATTCAACTTAAATTGATGATACATTTTTCTGTAATTTTCACAATAAAATAAGTAAAAAATACAATCAATTCCAGTTTGATGGTTTTTATGCATTTGAATCAGTCTGAATATTCCATAAAATAAACTCACGTAATGGAATCGGAGTATTTTCCATCATCATCATCATCGGGAAAATGTTGCACTCGGCTAAATAACATAACAAAGAGGCCAAATTTGCATGAACTGAAACTGATGAATGCGTGGAAAATGCAAAAATACAACGAATGAAAATGAAAATGATATGGAGAACACTCAGAGAACATAATCATAATCGTAAAAAGTAAGTAGAATGAGCTAGCAAATGAAAGTCTTCCTCGTTGGCTCTGGAAAAACAATTTCGAAATTTGCATAGAATTCGTTGTTGTTTTGCTGTTACGAGTTGCACTGATATGCCACGCCCACAAAAAAGGGAGTGGGAGGGGGGGAAATATCTGGCACTGACAATGGGCGACAAATTATATGCAATGACAAAAATTTATCACACACACGGAGAGAAAAGAATCAGAGTAGACAGCATGCAAAACATGTCGCCATGTGAGTGACAATGTTCCCCGGGGCTGAATTCCGCCCCCAAGCCCCCAAAGCCTCCAAAAAAGGGCCTTTATTTCTCTGGGGTTGATGGATGTAGCGCAACTTTATGATGTGTATGTGTGTGTGTGTGTGCCAGTCAGTCAGGACCTCTCCAGTTTTGATAGATGTGCTTTTTGGGTCGTCCCTCCTTTTGAATTTCCCCTTCTTGATTGCTTGGGAATTATAAGCATGGTTATCATATTCATTTTTTGTTACTCCTGTTGATTAGTGCCTGTCATGTGCTCGGTCCAGAGCACCTAAATTGATTTTTTATTCAAATTTTGTCAGTTTTTGCGCTTGATGGATATGAGCAAAAATAAACAAAGCGTACAAAAAGGCAAACACATTTTTCGTTGGGAGGAAAATGCCTGACTAACAAGTTGATTTCCATATGTGAAAGTGATGGGGACAAACGGAGTGAGATATTGCCGGAGAGCATTCTTCAGGTCCTTCCAGGTCCTTTCACATGATGAATCGTTCCAAGTAGATGAGATAATTAGGCAAGTCAATTGATTGATTTATGGTTATGGAAAATGGTTAACCGAAACAGTATAAATGGTGTTGGAATAAATTGAATAGCAATAAAAATACGTAAGTCAATTGCCTTAAAAGAACTAAAAAGATATTTAAAAAAAATAAAGGCGAAATTGAGCTTTGCAATTTTAACAACAATCATTCTTTTGCTCTGCCAGCCTTAAAGATTTGATTGTATTTTATTTACTCTTACTTTAACTGAAAACATCTATAAATAAATAATCTGTAGGCAATTCGCCCTTCTGTATTTTTGTCATATTTCTTTGAGCTTGAATTTTCAATTTGGCCTTTGACCTTCAACTCTTTAAATTCATTTTCAGGTCCACTTCCTCAGCGCCCACATTTCCAATTCGATTTCTGGCACACAAGGATTACAATGCGAGAACTATTTCCAATATTAGTTCAGAGCTCAACCATCCCGAAGGCATTCGAATATAGTCGAATCAAAGGACGCCCAGGACGTGGCTTGCCAGTACATTCCGAAGTATCAAAGGGCAATCCTAATAATATTTGAAATTTACTTTTGTTCTGCCACTTGTCCTCCCACAGCCGCATTCACACATGCCACATGCCAAGGCGAGTTCCACAGCTCTCCTTCCCCGTTATGTCCCTATATGCCAGCTATATCCTTACTCCATCAAAGGTATCCTGCTTGCCAAGGACCCCTTGGGGGATTTTAAGGGGGGAAGTGGGCGTTGTAGCCTTGATGGGATGGCTTCAGCATATGTTTTGCCAAGTTTATTGAAAAATATGCGCTGACAGGTAATATGTCAATGCGTGGGATTTGCTAAAGTGCCAACGCCTTCGTCCTTGCATCCCACCTCCTATATAAACTTCCCCTTTTCGCAGAATAATAAACCTTCTGAAGGAGCAGGATTCGCTCGTTTTTCCCGTAGAGGAAGGAGCGGGATTCACTCGTTTTGCCACCGTGAAGAATGTTTACTATCAGCTCTAAAAAATATGGTAGCACTTAGGCAGTCAGGGAAAAGCGAAAATGCGATTGGGAACCAATAAAAATAAATATAGTTTAGTATACATAAATGTACGACAGATAGGTGCATTTTTCTTTTTAGTGTATTTATTGCCTAATTCAAAGCAAATATTATGATTTGAAAACTTTGTGGCATTTGTTTTCATGAAAAGTTTGGCACAAAATATGTATAGCAAAATAACTTTTATTAAATTTGTAAATAATACTATTTATGACAAACTGTTTAAATCAAATTCAACGTGTATAACATGCATGCATTTTAATATGCAAGTTTAAACTGATGCTAATCAAGTCCGTTGAATTGATTTAATATTCATGACTAGATAGCACCCATGCTGCTACTGATTATTAATTATGTAATTTTAATTAATATAATTGCGCAATCGTACACTTTGTATGCCAAATAATTGTAAAATCTGTTCGAATCTGATGATTAAATAGCTTAAACCGACATTAACCCAGAAACAAACACTCACCGTAAATAAGCAGCTGGCCACGCAGACCGCTGCCCAGGATCCAACCCAATATCGGAGAACGGTCCTTTCCCTCTCGGGGAAAAACATGGCATGACACGGTGCTCCGCAGTCATGGAGATCCTGCAAAGGAAAAATAACAAAGGCGAATAAGTGTACTGTGAAGTGAAGTGGGTAAAAGTGAAGAGCCGGCTTTCAAAGGAGAAAATTCATTTGCAGGCGGCGATTAATTAATAAGGCTTACATTTAATTCAGCCAAATTGGATTGAGAATTGTAATTAAAGGGGATTACAAGAGACGGCTTATAGGAAAAGCACACAAATTAATGGCAGATGATATAAATTGTAAGCTTTAGTCATAGAGATATTGACAAATGGGATACTTTAAGATGTAAGTAGCGTATTATATGTATATGAGTACATTCAAGAGAAAACACAACGAATCAAACATTTATCGGATGTTGCCAAAATAACAAACATACACTTGAAATTGTAAAGACTTCAATTATATTATAACTTAACTAGAAAATGCCATTACGAATTGGTAATATCTCACAGAGAACTCAAAATTAGCATAAATTGAGAGTACAATTTCAAAATCTTGCCTTGAGGGTGACACAGTCTCTCAAATTACATTAGGAACCTGAACAATTTACCATTCACAACCCCCGTTTGGCAAAAATTTCATCGGGTTGACAAGTTCGCACATTCAAAGTCCAAACTCCGGACTCAAACAATAACTGCAGTTTAATGAGATTTCCTGGTAGAGGGATCTAAACTCCACCCACCAGCCAAGTCAACCTTGAACTCCAAAAAGCAGAGGCAAAATCAACCCCCGCAGCACCAATTGCATTACGAAGTGCGGCAACAATGCAAACAGTACGACCCCATTAAGTTGACTTGTTTATTTTACCAAAAAATGTATCTATAAATAAATAATAAAATTAGATCCAGGAAATTTACTTAACATATTTTATAATAATGGCTTTAAATTGTGTTCGTTTTAAGTATGTTTGACTGTACAACAACAGCCGCAATTCCACAGTTTGGTTTACACTCAGTGGATGTGAACAGGTCAGATGGAATGAAGTTCGGAGTTCTGGCCCATTGTAAACCACAAGAGATTTGAATTTTAGATAGCATAACACGCACGCACGAAACACACTCGAAAAAAACCCCGAGGGCGGTTAAAAATAAAAGAAGGGGGTGGAGTTGTACGAAAAAATATTGTTGCAGGGCTTCGCCACAAAGAGTCTTTCAAAGTGAGCTCTAAACTCAGCTTCGAGATAAAGAAGAGCCCTGCACTGCAGCAAGACTTTTTGTACCCCCTTCTCGCTTTGCAAAAACACACATCACACTGAGAAAAAAGCATGTGAAATTTAATTTCGCAAAAAATATGAGAAAAACATTTTGAAAACGAAATATAAATAGGACTGAATCTTGGAATACGTCGGAATGTAATTTGATATTTGCCATTTAATTGGTTCGTTTCGCATTTTTTATGATTTGTATATTGGAAATTAATAACAAATACGTATATATATTTTTTTCAGTGGAAAAACCCTTTGGAGCATAGAAAAACAGAGAGATCCAGGGACCGAAGCTCGGTTGCAGTCGACAGTTTCTCTGTCAAAGAGCGAGTTCCCCCCGAAAGTGTTGACTGTCCCTGTCCCGTCGCCTTGTCTCTGTCTGAGTTTTATTTCAAATTCCCATTAAAAATTTAAAATCCTCCCCCCGAGCACAGCAGCCCCTGGCTTTTCAACGTTTTTGGCAATCATCGTTAGGTTAGCGGCGCAAATTGCGTTTTTCTGCTGCTCCGGAGAGCGTCGAAAAGGGCGAGATTTTGGGGGAATCGATGGTGGCGATAAGCAAGTGCAGACAGAAAGAGATGGCACGGACAAAATTGTTGACTGGGGCAATATTTACGCATATTTGGGGCGCATAAGGAAACGGATCCGCAACAATAACATAAAGCAGCAGTTTCGAGGGTTCTTCAGGGAATGGAGCATCTCCTCCAAATTGCCTGCAGTTTTTTCTGTCCAGCCAACATTTATCTGAAATTATTCTCGAAGCTTTTAAGCCAGCTTTAAGCCAAGAAAGCGCTGAAAATTTAAATTTAAATTTTAATGAACTAATTTTGAGGGATTCGAATTGCCCAAAAGTAGAATGAGGCTTATTTTGGGCGTTAAAATAAGCTGGGATAGCAAATGGAGTTGGATTAAAGATTGCTGGTGGTGTTTTTGGTCAAATAGAATGGAGGTTTATGACCTTCATTAAAAACTGTTTTTGTATGCGTAAAACAAAATTAAATCGCCCTAGAATTTTTTCAAAAAATGGGAAATAAACTAATAATGCATTTTTATAATTTATTTATAATATTTATTTTAATCATATCATTTCAAAAAAACAATTTTCTAGGAATAAAGTTCAGTTGCTGCTAAATAGCATGTTCTTCTGCCTTAAATTGTGTTACGGCTAACCAATCCGAACCAGAAAAGTATAATTAAATTGTTCCCCTTATCATGCAATCTTCCCCATATCATCATAACATTTATCAGGCTCGTTCCACTTGAAATGTTATATCTCAGCTCGAATCAGCATTCGCTTCCTGTGCCACTGGTCAAAAGATCTATCCGCCGATCCATCGATCTATCTTTATTACCGAGCCAAAATCAAACAGACTGCTTCTTCCATGGGTAATTGTAGCCCCCCGCCTCGCCACTTTTACCTTTAAGAATAAAATGCCCCCAGAGCAGCCGGCAAACAACAACAATAACAACTAGTTGCAACATTGACCACAACAAAAGGAGTCGAGAGACTTGCATTGTTAGTCGAACTCGCTGCTGTCCCTTTATATACGGTTTTTGGTCTGGGTCCCAGGCCGGGCAACCATTGTCTTGCGATTTTTATGAGGCATGTATAAATAATTGCGCCCAAAGGCCGCCGACATAAGTTTTCATGCCGGCCGCGTGAGCATCCGACCATCAGCCGCGGCTAAAAGCTGGCCAAACAGCAACAACGAATACCGGACAGCGGCTAAACTGCCCTGCAACTAGTCCACCTTATCCGCCCACCTCCTCCTTGAATTCCACATCGCGCCTTTTACACAGAAAAATATTGAGTTAAAGAGATGTAGAGCATAAGATGAAATATATAATAGGAATTGTATATTTTCAGTAACAATGTTTGTTCGCTTCACATAAATTAGGATTCATAAATAAAGTGGAGTCCAAATTGGTCTTAACATTTCCATAAACTAAATTCTCTTTTGCAAGTGAATATGCGGTATTCTCCGTGTAAACCAAAAGTGGGAACTACAAGATCCAAACAATATAGAAAATTTCATTTTAGCTGGATTTTTTTTTCGCCGGCGGCCACAAATAAAACACAACAAAAAAGAGGTGGGCAAGGAACAAAGAATGGGAAAGGGTTTCGGTGTGGGGAGACCCAGGGCCATAAACCAAGTTTTGCCAACATTTAAGGAGTTTTTAATTTATTATAGATAAATTTTATGCCGTCGCGAGTTATGAAAGGCCAAAGGGTAAGGGGAGGAGGAAAAGGAGTACAGCCAAAGCTAAGGGAATCCATCCAGCTGGCTCTCGATTTGTGTTTTAGTTGGAGGCGTGTTGATGATGATGGTGGAAGCTGCAAATTATTACGACTCCAAAGATGAGGCAACAGAAATACAGGCGAAGTTATGTTGCAGAAACAGTGGTTAAAGAAAACGAAAGATTTTGAAATTAAAATGGTTGTAGTTGCAATATATTAAATAATGTAAAAAAATAAATAATTATAATTATGATTGCCCTTTATAATAATTTTCTTGAGCTTCACAAAATATTAATAAATACGTATTCAAATTTATAATGAATAAGCTTTTTAAATTCCACTGTGCGCCTAGAGCTGAAAAACTTTTCGAGCGTACTTCAGATCAGGGTTCGGTTCCAGACTTCCTCCAACTCCGCCTCCACCCCTGCCCCCCGCCATCTGTACCCTTCTCGGACCTTTCAGACAACCCTCGGACAGCGTTAATGATGATTCTGGCCATATAGACGGGATGTGTTTGCCTGTGTGCTCTTTTTGGGGGTGTTGCTGACGTTGTTAAAGTCAAAATAGACAGAGCAACAGACAGCAGGAAGGAGAGCAAACAGGCGGCAAGAGTTCCAATGTCCTGGGGGTGGATTCGAACAGGAAGAAGTAGAAATAGGCAGGACGATGGTCCCCGAAGGCCGGCTGTCAACTCATCGTCCTCCGCTTTGCTGTTTTTCTTCGAGCAAGCCAAACATGCAGAAAAACCCATACAGACAGACGGACAGGAACAACAATTTGAATTCAATAAGGAAGCGGCAACAAGAAGAGAAGCCTAGCAAATTTCCACTCGGGTCAAGAGGTCAAATGGCCAGAAATACCCAGAATTATAATATGAGGAGGAGTCAAAGAGTCAGACACGAAATTCCCCAAAAATACAATGCGAGTCACACATTTTCCTTTGCTGACCGCAACACATAAGAAGCCGACTAAAAAAGTGCCTGCTCATAATTTATTAATATTATTGGTCGGGGGTCAGCCAAATGCCCCCATATGAAAGCCCCCCTGTACCCCGCTCACAAATTACACATGTCGACACTTTATTAAAAGCCAAAGGAAGAGCAAAAAAAAAGGGTTTTAAGGACTTTGATTCGATATTGGAGGATTTCCAGCTCCTCTTTGTTTCCCTTTCCATTTCCCTTTTTGTTGTTTTGTTGGGTTTGCGGTCTGCCGAAAAAATGAAACCGATCCGGAGGCTATAAAATGTCGACCCGTCCATATGTTGGCTGCGTTATGGAAGGAGGATGAACCGGCGCTTTTAGGAACCGGAGGCCCAACAACTTTTGGCGCGATTTCCTCTTATTTTGGCTTAACGCCCCTTTTTTGTGTTGTTGTTGTCGCTGGTTGAACCCTTTTAGGGCCAAAATAAGGGCACAAAGAGACAAACAGAAATTGCTGTTAAGGTCTACACTTGACTACATGCAAATTAAGCCCAAAGCAAGAGCGCAAAAGAGAAACCCAAGTAAAAGGAGGCGTGGACGACGAGTAAACTGAAGGACGAGCGCGGTGGGTTAAATGGCACCGGCATCTCCTTTA